AAATGTTACTCAGTAGTTGATTGTGTCTCATTTTAAATGAGATGAGATTATTTTGACTAGAAATAAGACAAATACACTTGGTTCAAGATCACAAGGTTGGTACAAGATTTTGAGTTTTTGCAGTGCAGGCTCTTGTCCTGTTCAGAGTTCCTCCACTTTCCTGTAAGTCAGTTTCCATCAAACAAACCTGTGAACCCTCATTAAACTCACTCGCTGACACACACGGACTCATCACACCTGACACAGCCTCCCACAAGTGTTTCCAAGATGGCCTCTAAGCGCTGAGATTAAGGTGCAGACATGCAGCGTGTTTGAAAAGTGTCTCTGATGTCTCAGATATAGCCACGCCCTCTCTGTCAGGTCAGGAAGCAGAGGCGAGCTCAGGATTTCTTCCTCTGTTTTGTTTCAGATGTACGACGAGCTGCTGAAGCGCTACGTGCAATTGGAGGAGAGAGTTGTGCAGAAGAGCCACAGCTGAGCCTCAAACCGCCATCAGTGAAATCCCGCGACCGCCATTTTCTACTGAAGCCAGCTTTGAGTTTGACTTTTACACCTGTTTACCTGAAAGAAGATCAGAGTCATCACAGGAACCCTCAGCCACCTGAAGATGGGCTGCTCGCTTCGACTTCAGCCTGATTGGATCAACGACATCATCATCATGTCAAAGCCTGGTTGGAGGATAGCATTAACACAGCATCGTGTGATTTTATATGGGGGAGCAGATTTGCTCAGTCCACCAGTAGTGAAACAGAAAAGAAGCTAAAATGATGAAACAGCCAGCGAGCCGTGACTGTGTCGCATTTTAAGCTCCAAAAATCTGAGATGAGAGCGATCGGCTGAAGAACGTCCACGTTAGTGCCAGCTGGGTCCTGCAGAGCAAAGTTTAACATCCCAAAGTTTTTCAGAGTCTTCTTTTCACTCGTGACAGGCCTGACATGTCTGTGACGTTTCTGACTGAAGCCCCTCCCACTGCTTCATCACCTGGATCCAGGCAGCGTTAGTTATTCATGTGTAATTTTAGTGAAATAAAGTGAACGAGTTCGTGAACATGTGTTTGGTTTCTCTTGCTGGAAAAAATAAAAAAGCAAAATTTAATCAAAAATATTAAAAATGTACATAATAAAATACAAATCAATTCAAAATAAAGTAAAAAATGTATGAAATTATATTATAGACTAAATAAAATTTAAAAGAGTACATGATACAAAATAAAAAAAATTAAAGTAAAAATTAAGTAAAAACTATTTTTAAAGCGAAAAGTGAAATTAAGAAAAAATCAAAGATCTATTTTTAAGCGTTTATTGTAATTATAAATAATAATAATAATAACAGAGCTGAAGGTCTGCTGACAGATTCAAATGATGCTGTTGAACCTTCATGTACGACCGAGCCGCTAACATGAACTCTTTATAACCAGTGAGATGTCACAGGTGATGATGATGAGAGCTCCTCTGTGAAGCTCAGGGAAGGATGGACCATCAAACTTTTGCTCTTTAAAAACTCAGTTCATGTATTAATCAGTTCAGATATCGATCGATCGCGTATT